TGAAGGCAAGCATAAAAGGAAAAAGAAAAAGGAGAAGCATAACCTTGAGTATTCCTCTTGTAGGGAAGAGACCTCTGTAGATACTTGGGACTCTCAGAAAAGGTATACGAAAAGAAAAAGAAAGGAAGAAGTTAGGGGAAGAAATATACTTGCAGAAGGTAAGGAAGAGAGCTCTACTTCCCATTCTAAAAAGATGAAAAAAACAGAGAGGGAGAAGCAGTTGGCAACAAAAAAGAAGGATGAAAATCAGACAAAGGTTGCTGCAGCAAAGATGTCTTTAGAACGGGCAAATGAGAGCTTTTCTCTAAATTCTGGTAAAAATAGCACCAAAAAGATCACAACACAGTCCAGGAAAAAGAGGGTGGGAACTTCAGATTCCTCCAGCACATCATCTGACAGTGACAGCAGTGAATTAAATGTAAAGGAAAATAAATCTACCCATAAACCTGTAGTGGTGACACTTCCCAAAGACAAATCCCAAGCTGCTTCAGATTCTGATGTGAAAACTAATAAAGTGACTGTAAAGTCTAACACTGAAAAGACTAAGACTGCAATTAGTAAAAATGCTAAAAAAACCCAGTCTTCTAGTTCAGATTCTGACTCGAGTACAGAGGATGAGACGGTGACACCAGCACAAGACAGCACTGCAAAGGAAAAATCGGTGCCAAACCGTGTGGTGGCTGTAAAAGACAGCACCAAAGCTCCCAAAGCACAGAGCTTCTCTTCAGACTCTGTTAGTTCAGATTCAGACACACTTGTCATTAGAAAGTCTGCAGCATGTGCTGGACTGCATAATTCCATAGTAAGGAGGTGCATTAAACAGATGCCAGCCAGAGGCCAAGGACTGTTTGCCTGCCTGAGCCGTGGAAGGGGGCGTGGAACAGGAGAGGATAACTTCCCGAGAGGACCTAGGGGCCGTGGGTTTCGTGGGATGATGAGGGGCCATGGGAGAGGAGCAAACCCTGGCTTCTTCTGTAACTACAGCAGTGAAGGCCAGAAACAGAGGCAGTTGAATGAAGCTGCGACAAACACTTCTGTCCTTGTCCAGGTGAGTGACTGACACAGGCAGAGGTCACCTTTCTCTGGCAGCTTGATGAGAGTATATATAGGATGAGAGTAACTCATAACAGCAGAAATAGGTTAGTGGGATAAAGGCTGATCTTTTATTTACTGTAATTCAGTTTGTCAGCCTGAGGACGTGTTTGTGAAACAACAATAAAGTGATTGTATTCTATATCTAAAAACAAAGCATGTACCTTGCTCTTCTCAGTGATTCTTGCAATCCAAACAGCATGAACATTGTCTTCTGTTTTCACTGATATAGTAATTAAATCAGTGGGTTACTCTTTGTTTCACAGAATCCCATGGAGATTCCCAAGAGAGACTATAGTGTGTTACCTCTTCTAGCTGCTCCACCCCGAGTGGGAGAAAGAATTGCCTTTAAGGTAAACTCTGGAAATGCTAAATGTTAGTAGGTTAAAATTGCTTCATTTGTGCCACTCTTTAAGTTTCTGACCTAACTGTTTCTTTAAAAAAATCACTTGTTGTAAAGCCTGGCTTTGATTTTTGACAAAGTTTGGAATATATACAGAAGTTAAGTGCATTTCTTCAGACTTTCTTTATTTGTAGAACACAAGAAATGCTGTCTCTGTTGTCATTTCAATGTAATTGTTCATGTAAATATTATTGGAAATCTTGCCATACAAATAATTACACTGCACTGCAAAATAAAAAAGTAAATAAAAATTATATCCCTGCAGTTGAGGAGACTGGGATCCATCTCCCTGATCTCCTCACACAGCCTGACCTGAACGCAAATCCTTTGGAACAGCAAGTCCTAGAAGTCTACCTGGGACCACAATTGGCATTGGGTTCCAGGAGTAGGAGACTTGGCTCTTGCACTTTCTGTTGCTGAAGAAGCTGTCTGGATGTAGGTGGAATCATCAAAGATTGGGAAAAGTTACAGTTTGTTACTTGCATTTCTTTCAACAGCACCTGGAACTAACCGAGAATTACAGTCCTGAAGTTTCAGAATATAAGGTACTGGTTTTCTTTCCTCCCTTCTTTCACTCACAGAACTGTGATGGGTGAAGTATGGCTTAAATATTTTGATACTTTGTGAGTGTTTTTCCTTGCATCCAGTTGACTCTACAGGTCAGCAGTAAAAATCAAAACTCTAGAAGCCGAAAGTAATTGATAAAGTGTAGCTGTTACTAAAAAAAGGAAAAACAACAAACTACCAACTACAAGGATTATTAATAATCATTAATATTTTAGAGATTACAAAAAATGCAGATCCTCAAGTAGAAAAATGTAGCTGTCTACTTGAGTCTACCTGCTATTTGAAGTCAGGGCAAGTTCTTAAAACTGGTGCAAGTAAAATTTTGTTGCTACTTCAAATAACTTGGTTTCTGGGCAAGTACTGATTTAAACTGCAAAGTTAGTGACAATGAGTAACTTTGATTTATTGATGCCAGTAGCTACAGATTGCTGAGCATTAATTCTTTGTACATTTTGTACATGGAGACTGGAAAATTTGATAGCCAGATATACTTATTTCCTCTGGCAGCAATCAAGTAGTGCACTGGTTGTAAATATGGAATAGTTATCCAGTGCTGAAGTGTATCGTACCTGATTCTTTTCTTGTTGCTTTGTGAAGGAGGCAAAAATAATCAGTTGGAATGCTGAAAAAAAGCAGATTGAACTTGAGATCCTTTCAACATCAGCAGGACAATGTACGTACCTGGGGACACCAAGGGCTTGTTGTCATGCGCTGTCACCTGGAAAACCAGAAGTCCAAGGAACACTTCATCTTTCAGGAGTATTCCAGATTTCCTTGGGATCATTCTCAACGCACTCCTCCCCTCCTCATTCCTTCCTCAAAAAGTCTATTTCAATTGAGAAGTTCTAACCCTTGCTAGTTGAGCTGAAAGATGCTCATGGGTATTTACAAAATAATTTTTCTCAGTTAGTTTGAGTGGTCAGTAACTCATCTCTACTGTGGTTTCATTTTCTGAAAGAAATTATTTCAGAAAGAAAATATTTTATATTATTTTTTTACGGAGAAAGTGTGAGGTCATAATGGTGTATCTTCAGTGGGTGCGGAAGTGAGTCCCTGCAATGACAAGTTGCAGTTCCTGAGACCTGAAATGATTAATGTTTCTCAAACTGTGTATCCTGCAGTTACCACTTAAGCCAGAATTAATGAATTGGCATATGAGCATTTTTGTTAAATTTCAGCAAGATATTGTTGACTTTCTCATGTGAGTAGTCATATAATTACCTTAATTTTGGTGTGTAGTATTCGATTTTTCCTCAAGATTTTTTCTTATAATTATGAACCCAGACACTGAGCACAAAAAAAACCCCAAAACAAACCCCAAAACCAAACTGGTTTTGATTGGCTTTTGTGGTAAACATTTAAAATGTCTTTGGTTTGTAGCTGGTTGAGCTGTTTGTGTGGTTTTTCAGTTGCTAAGGAGCCAGGGAAGTTTGACCTGGTGTACCAGTCTGCAGACGGAGAGGAGCTGGTCGAGTACGCGGTGCCTCAGGACACCAAGGTACGTGGGGCCTGCTCTGAGTCCTGCCACCAGCTCTGCAGGGCTGGCACCTGCCCTGCTTCCTGCCTCTCTTCGCCTCAGGGACATTTCCTTTGTAATCATCCATCTGATTTGAATCAATGGAAGCAAAAGTAATTGTTTCTTTCTAGCAAGAAGGTGCATGTCTACATCATAATAATCAGTTCTTGCATGGTACTCAATTAACTGGGGTCACCGCCACTCACCAAAGTTCTTGTTTTGGCTAATAAACAACATCATGTCTCATAGAGATCCTTTCTTACCAGCTTTCCTTTTCATCACTGTTGTTCTTACCTGCATCTTTCCTTACCCAGGACATCAGGCAGGTTGAGGTTCTCCAGTAGGATCAGTGACTCACAGGAGGAGTTGTGAGCTTGGTTCAGTGGTCCAGGCAAAAGCATAACAGCACAGAAATTGCATCTGCTGGTGCTGCTGGTGCTGCTGGCACCTGCCAAATGCTGCCTGTGGTTTGTTTTCAGATAACTGAAAGCTGGGATGCGCTGATAGAGCCAAGACTGATTGTGGAGCCTCCAGTGAACGGATCCAGCGTTGCAAACGGAACATCTAGTATGTGAAAAGATGTGAACAATTGTACAGTTCTGTTCTGTGAAATGCTGCCTTCTGGTTCTGAGGGTGGCAGGTGCACTGATGGATGTTACTGTCTTAAAAAGAAGTAGGCCAAAAGAAAAATGGTTTTTTTCCTTTAGTTATGTTTTTATGTAATACATGAAAACTTTGTTTATTATAGGAAGTCTAATATAGACCTGTCTAATATAGACCTGTTGGGTTTGAATATTTCTACTGTACCAGGCTGCAGAACTGGAATGGTTTGATTAAAAGATAAAACACAGCCCTGTACTGTGAGTAACTGTTTAAATGTCTGGGTTTGGCTAGAGCTGTGTGACTGCCAGAAGTCACTTTCATTTAAAAATTTATTACAAATATTGTTGATGTGCAGAACTGTCCCTCTGCTGTTGCCACAGCATACAAATGCTGTGACTTTGTAGTTACTTAGAGTTCACCTAAACATATCCAGAAAAGCATGTGGATTTCAAGGTTCTGTAATTTTGAGGCAAATAAATAGCACTGGTAACTGTCAACTTTGCTTAGAACCAGTGGAATATAACATGAACCCCTGGCACAATTGTGTCCCGCTGTGTTAATCCATGTAGGCTCTGAAAGCCTTTATTGTTGGTTTTAGAGCAACTTGCCCTTTAAGTGATGAAGTTGCTGTGCTGCCTTTCTTCTTCCTGCTTCTTTCCTTTCTTCTTTCTTTCTTCTTTCTGCTTCTTTCCGGCAGCAGAATGGGTCACCAGGTGCTGGCAAGGCGCTGCACTGACAGCTCTAATAATTATTATTAGCATTGAGGGGGACTTGTACCTCTGGAGCCTTGGCAAGTCTTACATTTTCAGATAATCCCTGTGCAAGGTAGCTGACTCCTACAGGAAAGACATGTGAAAAAGCAAACCCTAGATAAAGACCTGCAAATTTATAGATTATGGTTTAGCTGTCATGTACTCTGACCTAGTGCATGATTCCATTAAAGTTCTGTGCATTTTTGCGTCAGCCCTAGTAAAATGTCTTGTTTGTGAAGGAATCATTTTTATACAAGTAAAATGTATTTGTGTTTTGTGGTTCACTTTAGATACCATTATTTCATGCTAGGATTTGTTTATTAGAGAAAAGTTTGGTTAGATTTGTGTGGCTGTTCTTGGAAACTGAATGACAAGAGGATGTCAAACAGGAGCACAGTCATGCTCAGACAGTGGGGATTAATGGAAAGATTATTTTTCTAAGGGAAATTGTTACTGATTAATTCTTAGGAAGTTGCAAAAGCTACATGCAAATGTTTCACAGTACCTGTTGTTCCATTGCCTACTGTGCATTTTTGGCATGATTTTGAGTTGCTCTGGCTGTGCCACACGGGTGATGCTGGAAAATAAATACACCTCTGAGAAGAGAGGGTGTTCTGAACGTAAAATCTTGAGTTTTATTTACCCATTGTTACCAAGTTTGCGTGAAGCTACTGCTTCACTGCTCAATTCAAATCAGACCAGGGGCAGGCAGTCTGAGGGAACTGCCAAGAGCCCTCCCTGTCCCATCCACGTCCTGCTCTGAGGAATCTGGGATGGAACAATATGCACATGAATCCCACAAGGAGGTGGTGAAACACTGAGCAAACCCTCACTGCTGCCTTTCTGTCCCTGGGGCTCTGCCATCGCTCAGCCCCTTTGCTGGGGGCAGGAATGTGAGGTGCCATTTATCCCACTGTGCTTCTAAAGCCCTGCTTAAGCTCTGTGGGGTACTTTGAATGTGCAGTGGCTGGGCAAAGAGTTAGATTCGGTTCAGAATCACAGGAAGTTCTCAAGTATTTGCAAGCAGAAGTGAGTAATAACTTAAGTAGCTATGCAAATGCTAGCAATAATTTTTTATGTTAAAATTTATTGTCTCATAGACAACAGGAGTGGTTGGGCTTTCTCCAAACCAGAATCTCAAGCCCTCTCTGACAATGTGGAACTTAAATTGCTCATCTGAGCTCTAAACATCTTGTGCTATGCTCCAGAAGCAGAAGCTACAGTTGTGAGGGTTTATATTTACCCTTTTTATTTGCATACCTTTGTCCATATCAGCTGATTCCATATGAGTGCCACAGAAAATACAGTGAAGGTGCTGAGTCTTTGAAAGATGACAGAGGTTTAGTCCAGATAAGCCCAGGGTGGGCTTATCGGGACTGAGGAACCTATGGAAAAATAAAAAATGCAAACATTAAGAGCTGCTCTTTTGTCCCATCTCATGCACAGCACAGCTCTCCAAGAGTGTTCCTTTGCCATCACTCTCAGCCGCCCCCTGTCAGGTGTTTGCATTTCTTCTGACAGCAGTTACAAAGTCCTGGTCTGTAAACCTGTAAACATGCTGTAAACCTGTGACCGTGCCCATTTCCTAGAAACTCCACCCTCGAGCACATGACAGAGCTGATCTTGAGCTTTTGCTCCTGTCAGGGCCCTGCAGCTCCCAATGCCTCCATTGTCGGTTCTGCACCTGTATCTGTTACTGGGCAGTGACTCAGAGCCCTGTGACACACAACCCCTCTGCAGCTTATCCTGAAGGAGTGTTAAAAGGCTGGAGGGATAACTGGTGTAGGTACAAGTCCATGTTATCTGTACAACACCGCTTTACAATGATTCTCCAGTTTTAATTTAATAGTCCAAAAGAACTGGCTAGGAGCTGATTTCACTTGTAACAGACCACCCAACATAGCTTCAAATTTTGAGCATAAGCATGAGCCAGCAGTGTGCCCAGATGGCCAAAAAGGCCAACAGCCCCTGGCCTGTATCAGCAACAGTGGCCAGGGAAGTCATTCTCCCCCTGTACTCGGCACTGGTGAGGGCACACCTTGAGTGCTGTTTCCAGTTCTGTCCCCTCAGTTTGGGAAGGACATTGAGGACCTTGAGCCCATCCAGAGGAGGCAGCAGGGCTGGAGAGGGGCTGGGAACACAAACCCTGTGAGGAACGGCTGAGGGTGCTGCGGGTGTTTAGCCTGGAGAAAAGGAGACTCAGGGGTGACCTTATCATTCTACAACTCCCTGACAGGTGGCTGTGCTCAGGTGGGGTTGGTCTCTTTCACCAGGCAGCACTGACAGAACCAGAGGATACAGCCTTAAGCTGCCCGGAGGCAAGTTTAGGTTAGATGTTAGAAAGAAATTCTTCACTGAAAGAGTGGTTGGGCATTGGAATAGTCTGCCCAGGGAGGTGGTGGAATCACCATCCCTGTAGTTTAAAAAACAGACTGGATGTGGGAGTCAGTGCCATGATTTAGTTGATGAGGAGGTGTTAGTTTAGGTCATAGGTTGGACTAGATGATCTTAAAGGTCTTTTTCAACCTAGTTCATTCTGTGATTCTGTTTAACTCCTGAACATTCTTGGAAGTCCCCAAGAACTAACGCCAACAAGATTGCCTGCTAATACTTTTAAATGACATTAAAGGGAACCTCAGCAGTTCTCCACACAAGGTGTTCTTTGCCCACTGGACAAGAGTTTGAGAGCACATGGCTCCTTCCGCTGCAGGCCATCAGGTTCTGTTTAAATTATTGGGGGGGTCACAGACTTTGTGCCAGGTTGCTCCTTTTATCCCTGCTGCCAGCATGGGTGGAGAAATATAGAGGGCCCCAAGGAAATCCCTGGGACAACAGCAGACAGGGCAGAAGAGGGAGGAGGAAGAGACCACTGGAACAATTTGTGGTCAAGTTAGTTAAGACAGGAGTACTTGCCAGGTTGCTGTTCAGCATCAGTGTTCCTGTTAGAAATGGTGATTATTGAACAGTTAGACTAAGAAAAAGAAATTTGAGGAAGCATCTTCTGTTCAGATGGTTTCCACAATCACAAAGCAGTAACCTGTGTGCTTTGAAAACGTTGCACTGACATCACCCGTTGCAAAGAGATTGTTTTTAACGTCCTTTCCAACCCAAACCTATGAGTCCGTAGGATTTCCAGCACCCAGGTGCCCCAAAACTCGGAGCAGCTGGGGCGGTGCTCGGGGGGATTTGGGGTTCAGCACTCCGTGAGCCCGGGCGGAGCCGGCGGGGCGCTGCTGGCGGCAGCGCGGGGCTGTCCCGGGTTCCCCTGAGCCGGGGCGGGCCGGGCAGCGCGGGTGGGCAGCGCACCCCGGAGGCCCCGCTGCGGTTCCGAGCCGACCCCGAGGCCTCCGGGCACCTCGGGGTGAGGCTGCCCGGCCCGGCTCGGAGCCCCCGGCCCGGCGGCCCCGCAGTGCCGCGGGCCCCGTTCCCCGGGGCAGAGCCCCCGGCGCTGCCCGGCCCCCACATGGGCGGGCGCCCCGGGGTTCGGCCCTCGGCTGCCGCCCCTCCCGTCGGGGCGGGGATGACACACGCAATTTTCCGGAAAGCCCCGGTCATAGTTTCGTTTCTCCGAGCCCAGGTTTGCTTCGGGTTCTTGGGGCAGCTGCGGACGGGGCGATGGCGGCGCTGGAGTCGGAGCCGGGCCTGTCGGGGCTGGAGGAGGATCTCACCTGCTCCATCTGCCTCTGCCTCTTCAGCAGCCCCGTGACGGTGCCCTGCGGGCACAACTTCTGCGCCTCCTGCCTGGAACTCAGCTGGGCCGGCCTCTCGGGGGGCTTCAGCTGCCCGCAGTGCCGGGCCACCTTCGCGGCCCGCCCGCAGCTGCAGAAGAACACGGTGCTGTGCCGGGTGGTGGAGCAGCTCCAGGGCCGCTCCGGGGACAAGAGCGAGGAAGAGGAGGAGAATGAGGGTGGGGATGGGGATGGGGATGGGGAGGCGGGGGGGTGCTGGGCGGGGGAGCCCCCCGTGTCCTGCGACAGCTGCCAGGAGGCGCCGGCCGTGCAGACCTGCCTGACCTGCACCGCGTCCTTCTGCGCCGAGCACCTGCGGCCGCACCGCGACAGCCCTGCCTTCCGCGACCACCAGCTCTGCCCGCCCCTGCGCGACCTGCAGCTCCGCAAGTGCCCCCAGCACAACAGGCTCTTCGAGTTCTTCTGCAGCATGCACGGCGTCTGCATCTGCTCCCTCTGCCTGCTCGGACACAAGCTGTGCCCCACCAACCCCTTGGAGCAGGCAAAAGCCACTGCCCAGGTGAGCAGCCGGGGCTGGCCGGGGACTCCCGCGGGTGGAACATCCTCCCAGGGGCACCCCGGAGCGCCCCTTGCCTCCCTCGGTGCCGGGGGAGCCGCTCTGGAGTGTGGGGAGGAGGCCGGAACAAGACATCGACTGTAAATCTCGGTCTGGCATTGATAAACTGTTATCTGCCTTCCAACATGTGCTCAGGCACGTCCTCGGAGCCATTCCTTCCGTTTTCCTCGTCTCTCCAAGATGTTGCTCAAGAGCAGGGGTCTGGGAAGGCGCTGCCAGGGAGCTGGATTAACAGGGCTGGGCTGGGTTTACCAGCGAGGCTCCCATTCTCTGTGGCGTCACCCAGAGCTCTGAGCCTCCTCTGCTGCTCTGCTCCCTGCCAGGGCTTGTCACAGCCTGAGGGGCCGACATTCTGCTGCAGATGTGCTTAAGAAGAAGCATTACAAAGGTATCCTAGGGAGATCTCAAATATGTAGATGAAAGCCAGAAGGAGTAGAAAGGAAGGAAACCTGGCCTTTATATTTTCCAGCACAGCTGAAAATCAGTGTGGATGAGTGAAGTATGCTGAAAAAGTTTAGATGGTCAAACTCCCATCTGTTCAGTGGGTGTGTACACAGCTTAGCTGCAGAACATAGCTCTGATTGAGTTTAGCAGAATCTTGAACTAAAGGAACAGGTAAATCACATCTAAGAGAACATTCTCAAAAGGAGAGGGATGAACAGTAGCATCAACTTTGTGCTGGAAGTCTAACGTGAGAGCTAATTTAACATTTATTCTTAGCATGAGAACTGCTGTGCTGATGAAAGCATAGGTCGTTTGTGAAGAGAGTGTCAGCAATGGCAATATGCTCTTGGGAGAGGTGGGGAGGGTGTGGGTGCAGGATTTGCAGGATGCTACTTTTGCACCCCCTAAGATTCAAGGAAAGATAGGTTTTAAGCTGAGAGTACTAAATGCTTACAAGAGTATTCAAAACTGAGAGCAGACATGACAATTGCCTCTCTGAAATACTTTCTGGTCTCTCCTGTTCCAGTCGATGCTGAAGAAAAAACTTGTGGAGCTGCATAACCAGGGTGAAAGAACTGCCCGGGCAATGAGCACGGTGAAAACAAAACAGAACCAATCTGCTGTAAGTGGAGAACTGCTCAGAGTGCTGTCAGCTTGCCTGGACCCACTGGCCACTGCATGGTGTTGGTGATTTTACCCTTGTGACAAGGGCTGTAGGGCTGAGGCTGCATTGGCAGGAGAAGGTGTTATTGGGAAGGAGCAGAAAAGAGGAGTTTTGGCAGGGCCAGGCAGCTCTGGGGGAGATGGGAATAAACCAGGCACTGTGCAATGTCCTCACGTGAGGGTGACACTGAGAATGGGCTCCATTCCTTGTGAGTGAAGTTTTCTTTCCAAACCACATAGAAATCGACAGCTCTTCTCTTGCTTGTTTCAAGGAAGAGAAGCCCACATGTTCCTCAGAGGCTTTCATGCAGTAGCACTTACTTTGTTACAAACTGTTGTTTTGAAACCAGTACCTGTCTGCTCTTGTCTGCCCCAGGAGACAGCTTCAAGAAAGAAGGAATTGATCAGAAATGAGTTTTCAGAAGTTAAAGCTGTAATTGAAGAAAGAGAAAATGAGATCATGAAGGCAATTGCAGAGGAAGAAAAGAGAGTTTGGAATAAGCTTGATTATATTTACAGCGTTCTGGGAAATAAGAAGAATGAGATTCAGTCTCTCAAAGATCAGATTGAGATGGCACTGACTGAAAGTGATGATGTTCTATTTTTGAAGGTAATGTGTCATTTAAATGTGAATCCAATTCTTCATTCTAGAATGCAAAATGACAAAAACCTCCTGTGGTCATCCTGCTCTCCAGAGACTTGCAGTGAAATGGAAACACAGTGGTGTGCAAGAACCTCCTATCAAAAGATGTCCTGAAAAGTAAACAAGTATCAGTGAAAGAATGCTGAAGGGGTGTTTCTGTTGAGTCAGGGACGGACGAAAAGACTCCAGTGGTTCAGAAGGCTTAAAGAATGTTTTTTAAGTAGCAAGTACTTTTATAGTCTGACTCACTAGGGTGGAATACGATTGGTGTCAAAGTAAAAACCTTTCACACTATTGGTACACACTGTGGTAGAATATGTCTATAAACAACATGAACAGAAAGAGAGATAAGAATTGTTTGAATTCTTTCTCCTAACTTTCCCAGGCCAAAGCCTGAGAGAATTCTCTCTGTTCTCTCTTCGACTGAGCTGAGAGCCTCCACAAAGGGGCGTCTGGTAACTCTCCCAGTTCAGCCACTGCCTCTGCCACAAGCAGAGGGGTCACTGGGCAGGAGTTACCTCTGTGAGGTGTGGCAGCTCTGTGTCGTGACCTGTGTGGTCATTGGTTACCAGTGGGAATTCAGGTGTCTGAGCGGCTGCTGGAATTTTGCCATGAGCTGTGTCTGACTGCGGCCTTTGTTCCCTTGAATTTGAGACAAATGCACAAACATTTAAAGTAAGTTGGTTGTATTTTTCTGTGTGCTACACAAGGTGGTCTCTCATTTGTTGTTTCAGAGAGCAGCAGCACTGCAACGAACATCAACAAAAGAGGCTTTTGTTCCTGTAGTTGAAATGGACCAAAATGTGATGCATTCCACTTACCAGTCTGCCATTACCCTCAAAGACAAAGTGAAAATTTCAGTAATTCAGAGTCGGGAGACAAAAGAAGAAGGTACTGTATCACTGCGGAAATTGGCATTTTCTACTTTTGCTTTGAGCTGAAATGAGGGATCTTTCCTCTCCAATCCAAATACAATTTTTTAAAAAAGTGCAACAAATACAGTCAGTTAATATACACTGTCTTCCAATCTCTGCAGTCTTCCATTTCCACACAAAAACATTACAGTTTGGGCTAAATTGGGAGACAAAACATGCCAGTGTTTCTTCACTGTTATCTATACTTGGATAAGCTGATGACTGTCATGATATTACATCCTGCTGGCACAGCTCAGCCTTTCTTCCTTAGAGTAATTTATGGTGTTACTGTGTAGCAGGGTTGGATGTGGTTAGGATGTGGATTTGAGGGGAGATTGGAAAGGCTTTAGCTGGCCAGGACGCCACTTACCCAGCTGTAAAGGTGCTGATTGTGTAAGTGTTGTGGAACAAAGCTCTACTTACCAGATTAAGCCATATTATCTTTTGGACTGGGGCATGGGTATGCAGTTCCCATCTCAGCCAAATATCACTTCAGTTCTGTTCGCATAACTGAAAAATAAGATGGAAAAATGTCCTCATAACGCATGACTGTTCTGGCCATACAAACCATAATGTAAATTATCATTGTTGCAGACAAACCATTGCAGCCAAAAATTAAGACCCCTCCAGCAGCTCATCCAAACAAGCCCACTGTTGGAAAAAAGCCTCATGGACCACGTAAGTACTACAGAACACCATCCTGTCCTAACTATGGCTTTACTGTTAAATAAGAGTTGAGGCAGCTACCCAAGAGCTGTTTGTGCGGTGGTGATGCAGTGATGACCTGCAGTGAACACCTTGACACAGGGAAGGGAGGGTGCTTTTGGATATTTGGGGGTGCATGCCTTGTGAGCTGGACAGGTGAACTGCACAGGTACACGAGCTCATCAGCCTGTAGTGGTGTCCGTGTGGGCCTCTCCACCCTCTTGCTGGTGCAGGTTTTTTTAATTTGTGCCAAACACCTTTTGGTTTGTTTGGTAGATTTGTATGTATTGATTTCTGCTTAGGATCTGTTCATATTCTGGTTTTTTTCTTCTTCCCTCACAGACCAGACCCACAAAGAGAAAACCCAGGCTCAAATCACTTCGAAGGGGGAGACAGATGCCACCAGTAAGTGGTCATTAAAGGAGACTTACTCAAACATTTTGCTGCCTCCGGTCTAGGACTGGTGATGGTCTTTGTGGCAGGTTATACCGGCGCCTTTCAGTTCTGTTTTGTCCAGATACCAGAATTAAGGAGCATTGTAGCCTGTTTGGATGATCTTCCATGTTTTCTTTTTGAAGTAAATGCAAGTGTTAAGAAACAACTTCTTTTACTTCCAGGGAGCTCTTGACACATGGTCCAAGTGCTGGGTGTGGAAAAGTCGGGGGGTGTGCTGGGGAAGCAGGACTGGACTGGAGCTGCATCTCCTGTTGCTGCACTAAGAGCTCTGTTGTAAAGAGGAAAGGAATAGTCAGTGTTTCTCATGGGAATAGGAGTGTTCCATGGGCCTGAACACACTGCTCCTGGAGGGAAGATCAAGCTCCTTCCAGGCTTATGACCCTGTGAAATAGGAAGCAAATGGAAGGTTGGGCTTGATGTACAGCTTTCCTGTGTGAGGGTATTTGTACATGGCTTCAGCCTGCTGGACTGTCAGCTCTTTACTGCTGCAGTTTCAGAAGAGCCATGGTGATGGTGTTACACTGACACAGTCTTACCAGTGGCTTTTGCCTCCCAGCAGAACTCACAGTTTACTTTTTTCTTTATCCCCTTTCAGAAGAGAAAAAGAAAGCTGCTAAAGTTGGTAAGTCCAAACTTGCATCATGTGTATTCTAATTTTCATCGACTGCTCTTAAAATGATAAAATGATCATTAGTGTTGGTGTACTGAACAAAATTTCAGCTCTTGCTGGCTACTGTGGGAGCAATCAAACACTGAGAGAAGCTGTCCAGAGAGTGGGATTTTCAAAACTTGACATGACAGTGAACAGCCTGAGCTGTTAATTGGAGTTAACCCTGCATGGAGCAGGAGGCTAAACCAGATCAGCTCCAGGCTGAGTATGTCTGTGATGGGGTCTTAAACGTGTGAGGTCTCTTCCCAGCTGGCCAAACTCTCTGTTCTTCTGTTGACACAGCACCAATCACCACACCAAGTGCCACAGCTGCTGCTGCTAAAGACCTGATAGACAGCTTCCTGAAGAAACCCAGAGAGGAGCTCTTGCAGTGTAAGACACCCAACATTACACTCCTTAAAGATGAACTTCGCTCTTCTTGTACTGGTGTTATGTGTCCTCTGTAGTGACTTGACAAAAATATATCTGAGGGGGTTTTGTTAGCTTAATAGGTTGTTACAAATGAAGGAAATTTCTAGAAAAGAAGGGGGGCAGGAAGTTTCTAAGTGGTTATTTTGCCGGATGAATCAAATTAATCTTCACCATCCGTGAATCTTTATGAAGATAAATGAAGTTTTTTAAGTAATTATTTTGGTTTCCCCAAAAAAGACAGCATTAGGGTAGCCTAGAAACACAGTGTAATGCACTGGATTCTTTTTAAATGAAATGCAGGTCCACGACGGCTTGTTAAGATGCTACAAAATGTGGCATACCTTTTGCTGCCAGATCAGCCATCGCCTTCTTTTGCCAGGGTGTATTTGGGTGATAAAGAGATCCTGTGAGGATGCAGGAAGGAAGAAAACTCACCCTTCATTTGCTTGTTGTGTGACATAGAGCTGCCCAACCCAGCAACTTGTACTGTGGCCTAACAGCTGGCTGCACTGAGGAGGAGAGCAGAGCTGGCAGATAAACATGGCAACAAGTGCTGAGGCAGGACAGGATAAACAAAAGTGCTTTGTTCTTCAGGACCTTCCAGTGATTTGTGTCATTGCAGATGCTGCCAACATCACGCTGGATTACAACACAGCTCACAGCACCGTGGTTCTGGCTGAAAACTACACCAGGATGTCCATCTCAGACACCTTCCCAGGTCACAAGTACCACCCTCAGCGCTTCACTGATTACCGCCAGGTGCTGGGCTTCCAGTGCTTCAAGAGAGGCATCCACTACTGGGAGGTGGAGCTGCAGCAGGGCAGCTTCTGCGGCATCGGCGTCTGCTACGGCAGCATGGAGCGCCAGGGCCCCGAGAGCCGCCTGGGCAGGAACAGCAAGTCCTGGTGCATCGAGTGGCTCAACTCCAAAATATCATCCTGGCACAATGACGTGGAAAAGTGCCTGCCCAACACAAAGGCTACCAAGATAGGGGTGCTGCTGCACTGCGAGGGGGGCTTTGTGATTTTCACAGCGGTGGGGGAGAAGCATAACCTGATCTATAAATTCAAAGCCCAGTTCACTGAAGCCTTGTACCCAGCCTTCTGGCTGTTTTCCAGTGATGCTGTTCTCTCTCTCTGTCACATGAAAGTGTAAGGTCTCGTATCTTAGTTTAGTTCATTTACAGCACAGATAATCTGTCTCAAAGATTGATTATTTGATACAAAAATTATCATCTCTTTTAAGCAGTTTAGGAAATATGCCAGTTCTTTGGTCTGAATTGCTAAAGCCTTTAGATAGTGATTTAGGAAAAAGTCGGTGATGATAAAAACTACAATGGTTTGCACAGGTCTTGATTGGCCTGAAATCAAAGTCATGATGCAAATCCTTGTTAAATGTCTTAACTGGCCCCTGTGGCTTCTGTGGTTTCCTGTAAAGGAGCAACACAATTAATGTGTCCTCTTTCTCTGAGAAAGAAACAGGAAGAATTCCTTGAAAAATTCAGGCTTTGAGGAAGGTCTCACTGTTGCCTTTTTGCCTGTGCACAGACTGTTGTCCATACAGGTGTTCTCAGTGTATGACTCCACCAGATGCTACAGAAAGAGCTGTTGAAATCCCTAAGTTCAGGTCTTATGGCTGTAAGTTATAAAAGCCACTATGACAAATCTCATTAGAATGGAACTGCAGAGATTTCTAGAATTGATGGGAAAGAAATGGTACTAGAATCACCAGGAAACAAATTATATCAGCCCAGACACTGGGAATACACCAGAGAGTTGTCAGGAAGACATCCTGCAGAGCAGTAGTGTGCATGCTGTGATGAAGATTGTGGGATGAAACATCCTGTGTCGTCTTCTGACCCAGAACATGCTTCACATCTTCACACTGAAGGCTCTTCAGTGCTGGGTTTTTTTGTGTGTGCTGAGGAGTTCAGGGGTGCATTCCTGCTTTCAGGGTCTCCTGTCATAAAGGTTTTCCTCTTTATGAGGTGGGATATGCTCTGCTGGTGTACCTTTGGTTGTTCAGGTGGTAGGAACTGGATTTTTTGCATGTTTTTGGGACTCAAATTTGAGGAGTCTCAAGACAGAGTGCATTGGGAAATGCTGGTTCCTCTCTGCATGAAGACTGTGGGCAGACAGGGTGAGTCTTTTGACATACAGAGAATTAGCACAAAGGAGAATATTCATCCGTTCTTCCTGGGATGGATTTTTAATTCTCCTGGTGTTTTTTTGGGTTATAGTATGTCTTCAGAAGTTCTCACCAGGTACAGAGAAATATGTACTTCTTACTTACAACTTTAAAATAATCTGTAGGCAATTCATAGTTACTGGGCCTGTACCTTGTTGGTGCCTCTGGATTTACTGTGCTAGCTTTTATTTCTTGTAGCCCATGGGAAGCTCACACAAGAGCCTTCCTGGACTTGGATTTCTAAAACTGCCCTTACAGGACTTAGTGAAACAGAACACAAAGCCACTGCTGGCAGTTTGGCAGAGTTTTAAGCCTTTGTTATAAGGCTTAAAAGAACCTCTGTGACTACATTCCACATTAGCCAAAGTGCTTTGGAGAGAGGCTTTCAGGAATTCTGGCTTGGTGTCTATTTTTACTTGGTTTGTAAACTCTTAGTACTTTGTCAAGAATAGCACAAGTCTAATTTCTTCCAATTTTTTTGTCAGAACAGGATATGGAATTGATGGTGGATCTAAAAGTGCCATGGCTGTCTTTGGAGCAATTCTACTCTGTAAAGGGTCTCTACTTTCCAAAGCACAGTCAGCACTAAAACTCCCAGCCTGAGCAGGATGCTGCAAAAGGTGCAGAAGGAGGCTATGTCCTGCTGGGAGCCAGCAATGGGTGACAAACTGGGTTTTCTGCCCTTCCAGTTTTTCAGCAGTGAAAGATAAGACCAATTCCTTCTGAGAAATCCTTCTGCTCCTTGGCTGTGCCACAGGACTGCAGATGCACTCAGCAGGGTGCTGAAGGAGTACTCTGTCCCCTTCTTGTGGGCAAAAACGTGCTCCAGCAGTCTGTGCAGTGGAGAAAGTCCCCATCCTCTGTTCCTTGCTTCTTGACTTTAAAAGAGGTGTCAGTACTGACCTCTGAGTCTATGGGCTTTCCATAGTCTGGAGGGACACCCAAACAAAGTAGGGAGCAGCTTTTGTTCTGCTTCGTTGGACAAAGTGGGATTCTTGACATGGGACACTGGTGTAGGACCAAGCATGTGGAACACATGAGGTGCCCTGCATTACCAGGCAGTGAAACAAGCCTTCTACTGGGCCCCTGAGCCTCTGTTCTGCTTTCTTTGTGCTATGAGTGACTAGAAGTCATAGAGTGAAGTTCTGTTAATTTGGAATTCACGGAATCACAGAATATTCTGAGTTGGAAGGGACTCACATGAATCACTGAGTCCAGCTCTTGAGTGAATGATCCATGTCGGGATGGAAATGAGGACCTTGGCATTACTAGGACCAATCTCTGGGCATCTGAGAAATGCTTTGGTTAGCTTCAGGTATGATGCATATTTGGGAACATTAGTGTGATACAACTATTATAACTAATAATAAATATTAGTGTGTTTAGGAGAAATACTAGTTACTGCATGATAGATGATTATTCTAAAGCCTTTTCAACACAACTGAAATGGTTTTACTTGGGCAGTACCTGTAAGAGCTGCACTGGTTTTAAACAAGACATATATAGGAGCGTATATTTCAATTGTAATTCTCTATTTAGTATTACAAAGAAAGCAAGTTAGTCTAGAAAGGAACTAATTCTGGTGTTAACACCATTGATTTGCAATTTAATATACAAATGAGAGTAAATCAAAAAAACAGTTGCTGAATGAAAAGAAATTATTTTTTAATCTTCAATTAAAGACATCAGTAAAGCAGTGTATTTAGAAAAAGATAGCTTATGCAGCTATAAACCTGTTGATTATACTGATTATATCAGCCCTGTACTTCAGCCTGCCTATGGTGTGTTATTGTTCGTAGCTGTGCCTGGCACACACAGGCAGGGCCACCACCATGGATTTTGTGCCACTTGTGCCTGTGACCATCCAGGAGCTGGCCGGTTGCTGATGATGGCTTGAATTCAATAAAGACTCACAGTAAACCCTAACTGAATGTTTTGTTCTCTGCTCAGGGTCAAAGCAGGGAGGGAGGCAGAAGTGAAGGTACAACAGAATACAAAGG